TTATTTTACTGTTTGATTTCCCCATTTTAATTTGTACCTATCAAATCTGTTTTGAAGGTTATTTGGTTGCTTGTTAGTGGGCAACTGAGAATTACTGTAACTTGTCCTAGTGTTTTTTCAGTGTCGTCATCTGGGACCGGTTCTATTTTTACGAGAACTCTAGTATTGGGGTCTTCTTCGCTTAATTCTTGTAATGGTTGTAATAGAAGAAGGAGTTGTTGAGCTCTAGGATGTGTTGGATCTACGTGTAACTTATCTGATATACGTATTTCTAATTTTAAATCTGGATCCAGTGTGGGTTCAGACATAGGGTCTCTAACACTGGATATTTTGTCTGATAACACAGTGATAATTTTATCAGTGGTAGAACCCCACTCTCCGGTCCTCTTACCTCTGCATCCACTGATACTCACTGTATTTATTATCAGATATTATATGAAACTCGATCTCCTAGTGGAGAAAGAATTTCCTTTCACACTCACTTTCTCACACACACACAAGTTCAGAACTCTTTTTTTTTTTACGTCGCGATCTTATTTTTATTTTCTCATCTTTACCGGTGATATTCTTCTTTAAACAGAGGACTCCGTCGTCCTGCACGGGCTTTAACTATTTAAGATAGAGGGCGCCGCCACCCTTCACGGAATTTAACTGTTTATTCTCTTTACTTGGTAAGTGCCTAGGATTATCAAGGTTTTTTATAACTCTATTTTGACCACACTTTCTTTCATTTTTAAGTCAAAACAACTCGCCTGTTCGTGTGTCTATCCTTGGTGGTATCCTGTCAACCCTCGGGTCCCAGCCGATGGAAAAGAACTGGCCCTGCAAACAGGACTTGATGCTGTGGCCACAGACTCTCACCAAGCTCTCATCCGTCCGCTGGAACCGTCAGGTATCTTGGAATCCGGCTCTCGAAGGACCAAGTAAAATGTCAGGTTTAAACACCAAACATTTGCAGAAACAGAACTGAAAGGAAGACACAGACAGGTTAGATACTGTTTACTTGCAAGGAGAGTAAACGGAGCTGCACCAGTTACAATCTCCACTTACTCTGAGCAGCCCCGGTTCCCACATGCATTTTATTAAAGTTAGGAACGCCCTAATTACAGAGATGTATCAACCGCTAAAGGGTGGGGGAAAACACGGTTGAAACAGGTTTCACACATCAAATACAGAAAAAAACATAGACATAACAACCAGCGTGAGAGCTCTGCTGAAAACCCACAGCTGCAGCCGTCTGCATGAACAAATTCTCCTTTCTCAGGCTGAGAACAAGAATCATCAGCAGTCTGCACTTCTGGTTTGGCCACACTGCAAACATTATAAAAAAAACTGAAAGCACAGATTATTAATAAGAATGATAACATATAAGATTCATACAATTATTCCAACAATAACTATTTATTTATTAACAATAAAGAACAACTTGACAACATTCTCATTTTAATGCAGTGATGACTGCATGCTTTTTCACGTAAAGGCTAGGATATTAAGACTTTTTTCTTGTAGTATGACTTTAATCTCATAATATTACGATTTTATTCTCATAATATTATGACTTTATTCTCGTAATGTTATGCTTTTATGGTCCTGATG